ACATGCAGTGTTACCCAGGGACCTGATTGGAGCTCTGATACTGATGCTCATCATTTGTTGCCTACTTCAGTTTGTGGCTCTCACAAATCTGACCCTGGATTAAATATACTGCATAAGTAATCAGACATATGTATTTCTCCAGCATCATATTTCTGTTAATGCTTGCAAAATAAAATTTACTCATATTAAAAAACAAAGAATACAAGTTCAATCTTTAAAAGAAATGAACTGTGGAGATTTTGTATTTTTTGAAAGTCAGGGTACAGGTAGATAGTTAAGCCTTGAGAAAAAATACAGCACCATGAATGATCAACTGAAGGAATAAATAACTAGAAAAACATAAACAGTATGAGAGTAAAATGTAAGGAACTGACAAAGGGAACCGAGGGAACAGTTGAGCCTCTTTAATGACCGTCTTAGTAGCCGTGACAGACTGACTTTAGCCCGGGCACGTTTTGCAAGTTAACTTTGGCTTAGGAGGCTGTACTCCTGGCAAGATACTGTAGTAGTGGTTATACTGTTTTGGCAGAAGCTGAAACAGAAACCAGAAAAATATTGCAAATGGAAATTTTGGCTAATTATATGTATTTTTTAAAATTTTTATTTTATTGATTATGCCATTACAGTTGTTCTATTCCCCCCTTCATTCCCCTCCACCCTGCACTCCCCACCCCTACTATTCCCCCTCTTTAGTTTATGACCATGTGTCTCAAGTTCTTTGGATTCTATATTTCCCATACTATTCTTGCCCTCCCCCCTATCTATTTTCTACCTACCGTCTATGCTACTTATTTTCTGTACCTTCTCCCCCCTTCTCCTCCCACTCCCTTGTTGCGAACCCTCCATGAGATCTTCATTTCTATGGTTCTGCTCATGATCTAGCTGTCCTTTTAGATTGCTTTTGTTTTAGATGTGGTTGTTAATAACTGTGCATTTGCTGTCCTTTCACTGTTCATATTTTTTATGTTCTTTTTCTTAGGTAAGCCCCTTTAACATTTCATATAATAATGGCTTGGTGATGACGAACTCCTTGAATTTGATCTTATCTGAGAAGCACTTTATCTGCCCTTCCATTCTAAATGAAAGTTTTGCTGGATAGAGTAATCTTGGTTGTAGGTCTTCGGATTTCATGACTTGGAATACCTCTTTCCAGCCCCTTCTTGCCTATAAGGTCTCTTTTGAGAAATCAGCTGACAGTCTGATGGGAACTCCTTTGTAGGTGACTGTCCCCTTATCTCTTGCTGCTTCTAGGATTCTCTCCTTCATTTGAATCTTGGCTAATGCAACTATGATGTGCCTTGGTGTGTTCCTTCTTGGGTCCAACTTCTTTGGGACTCTCTGAGCTTCCTGGATTTCCTGGAAGTCTATTGCCTTTGCCAGATTGGGGAAATTCTCCTTTATTATCTGTTCAAATAAGTTTTCCACTGGTGACTGTTTTTCTTCCCCTTCTGGTAGCCCTATAATTCAGATGTTGGAGCATTTAAAGATGTCCTGGAGGTTCCTGAGTCTCTCCTCATTTTTTTGGATTCTTGTTTCTTCATTCTTTTCTGGTTGGTCTTTTTATGCCTCCTTCTGGTCCACTCCTTTGATTTGAGTCCCAGTTTCCTTTCCATCACTATTGGTTTTCTGTGCATTGCCATTCATTTCAATTAGTTTAGCCTTCATATGTTCCTTTAATTTGTGACTTAAATCAACCAGTTCTGTGAGCATCCTGATCACCAGTGTTTTGAACTGTGCATCTGAAAGTTTTGCTATTTCTTCGTCACTTAGATTTATGGGCTCTGGGGCTTTGAGATCTTCTTGAGCCATTTTTGGTCTGTTCGCGCGCATTAAGTATGAGGAGCAGAACCTTAGGGGCGGGGCGGGGCCTCCAGGGTGGGGTCGCTGGCTTGTGACGCTGTACGTGGGGGCGGGGTCAGAGCTGGGAAATGGCGGCCGTCTCTGCTGCTGCCCATCGCTGGGACCTGCTTGGTCCGTCTCACCGCCTACTCCCTTGCTGGTCTGTCTGCGCAGGAATGCACCAGCACAGTCAACCCGCGGCCCAGCACCCTCTCCGGATCCGCCAGTCGCTCACTGGGTCACTCACTGGGTCCGCCCTTTGCAACCCCACACCTGGGATCTGCGTGCCTGAGTCCATCTGACCGAGTTTTCCTGTGCGACCCCACTCTGCCAGCTGCTGGTTTCGCCCCTCTTACCGGTCAGGCTGAAGAATTTGTTGTTATCAGACTTCTGAAAAGTTCAATTTTCTGTGTTCTGGCTGTGTTTTCTGTTGCTAATATTTTGTTGTCTCTAATCTTGGTTGTGTGAGAAAGCACGGCGTCTCCACCTATACTTCCATCTTGGCGGAAGTCTAGAATAGGATGGCCTATTGCACTGTCAGTATCCAAGCACCTAAAGTTGTGTTTCCCTTTCTCATTTGAAAAGTCTAGTGTGTAAGAGCTAGTTATGGAAAGAAAGAAAAGAAATACTATGTGGAAACCCTGCCACCTGCCCATACTTTTTGTGTTTGTGTATGGTATTAATTTATCTGTATATTAGGGTTATGCAAATTCAAACTCTTGGGTTTAATAGGCACGGCCTCTACAACCTGTCTTCACCTTGTTTCTGCAGTTGCTTCTTGTGCTTCCACATAAGAACTTGTTCCAGGCAGACAGGATGTTGGTCCTCCTGTCCCTCTTGTGTTGTTTACCTCCAATTCCATTCTCTTGTTTGAGTGATTTGCTCTAATTTTAATGTTCTCTTTAACTTTCCTTCTTCTGTTTGAATGATCCCATTCTCTGCTCTCCTTCAAGTCTATGGTTGTTTTTATTGTTTGTTTCTTGCATTATCGACTCCCAGTTGAATTGCCCCATGCACACAATTATGCCTTTCTCATTCTGAGCAGATAACACCATTCATTACCTTATTTGACAGATTTGGATCATGTGCCATGCACACTTCAAATTCTTTCCTTTTCATCTCAAGATGTCTCTTTATAGTATCTTCACTTCTTTCATTCTCTCTTCCAACTGTCCAGCTGTCAGTCAAGAGAGACAATTGACCCAACCACTGCAGCCTAATCATTGCTGTGAAGTTTGCTGCCAAAGTGCTAGAATGCTAAAGCAGAATGTCACAGTAGTACAGTGGGCGTGGTTTAGTGCATTTCTCGTAGTGTGATATTTGGTGATGTGCTGACCCTCTGTTGTTCTTCACAGTTTTCATCCTAAAAAGAAAAGGTTGATTTTCTACCTTTTGTTTCTTGTAAGAACAAAAATCTCAAAGATTTCCTGTCTTGTTGACTTTATCACCTGGTAACTTGCCTTGTGTTTCTATTGTGTACTGTCATAAAACACCAAATCTTCTCACTGTCTCTTATTTCTGTCTCTGGAGGACAGCTGATCTCTAGCATCTACAGCTCTCCTAATCCTTCCCCCCTCTCCTAATACATTTGATCTCATTCAAACACTCTGCAAAAGTTGAACGCCTTTCCTGTGCCAGTCACTATGCTAAGCGCTGGGGTTACAGTCATGGTCCTTGTCCCCATAGTGCATTAGAGACTAACGGCAAAGACAGAGATTAATCAACTAACTCAACACTTAGATGTAAAGCTATAGCCATAAGAACTGTGGACGACAGGAACATTGTGCTGTGAGAATATGGGATAGGAGTATTTAATTCAATCTTATTTGTCCTTTGAAGAACTGACAATTGACCAAGACCTGAAATATGAAGCTGGAGAAGGTGGGGGTTGAGGAAAATGGTGTCCCTGGCATAGGACACAGTCAGACATTCTGGGGCAGGAGGGAGAATAGCTTGTGTGAGGTAGTTAAAGAAGATAGGGATGAAGGGGAGAGAGACTGAAACAATTGGAAAGGTAAGCGAGAGACCAGACCATGCCAGCCTGTAAAGTCTAAGGCAATGGGAAACTGTTGTTTCGTGTGTGTGTGTGTGTGTGTGTGTGTAACATAATATGTTTAGAAAAGATCTCTCTAGCTAATACATTGGGAATGGATGAATGTGTTAGAGAGGGGATGTAATTAATAGGTGACTGTACAGGTTTAGGCAACAGATGATGATTTTTGTATCAGGATGGAGAAAAGTAGGCAGATGCAGGAGATAGAGGTCGTGATAGAGGTGAAGCTGACAGGTCGTGAGAATGGTGAGGTTAGGGAAGAGGATGTGCCATGGACGACTCCTAGGTTTCTGGGGTAGAGAGTGCACAGCTGTCCAGCTGCTCCTCCAGTTAGTCCCCAAGGGTGGTTGCTTCTCAAAGTGCTGTTCTCCACTCCCCCTTTTACACTCTCTCCCTTGGTGATCCTTTGATTTTTGCCTAAACTCCCAGTTTTGCAAGATGTTGCCCAAACCACAATCCTATTCACTCCAGAGGGCACAAACTGGTGGCTCATTTGTCAGAGAAGCATATTTAGTGTATTAAAAATACAAATGACAAACATTTAAAATAAGAAGCTTTCACATAAAATCTATATTCATAATTCTTTAAAAAATTGAAGCACTGTTGACAATAACATATTCTCTCATGTCAACAGTTGGTCAGAACTGGTGACATGACCCTGTTAGACTGACCACACATGTCCCACCTTGCCATAGTCCCTGGCATCTGGGCTCCTGGCCACCACTCATTGATTGTTTTCTTTGCCCACTACAAATGTTAACCTTTAAACTTCAGTGTCAGTCAATCACCCCAGAATACAGAACACTCCAAGGAGATTAGGTCCCTTAACCACCATCAGACCAGTAAACACCACCTGAACCAGTGTTCAAATCCCACAGTCTTTTCACTCCCTGGACTGAATCATGATGTCATTTGGCAGTTAGTGGTGTAGTGATTGTTAGACCAGGTTGTTTGGCCATTGTATTGTAGGCACTTTATAGTTACATGTTTGACTTTCTTATTTCAGTGTGAAGCTTATATATATTTTAATTTATATGAAGAGTCCAAATGCTACTATATAAAAGCTTGCAGGTATCATTATTCTGTTTTCTTTCTAATTTTTTTCTAGAACTCTTAGAACACTCTCTAGCCCTTTTAAACAAAAGTCAACAACTCACTGACTTCATAGAAAAATTCAAGTGTGATGGACCTAATGTGAATCCCAAGTTGATGCAGGGAGCTCGTAATAGCTGCCTGAAGATCGACAGTCTTCTTGAGCTTCTACAAGACAGGAGACGGCAACTAGACAAGTACCTGAAGCAGCAGCGGCAGGAACTGAGTCAGGTTCTGCGGATATGTCAGTGGGACCAACAGGAAAACCAGGTAATCCCAAGGGGCATTGACGATGTCCCGACCTCAGCTAATGAAGTTTTGTTACTATGTGGACTATTTCCTGGGTCAGTTTCTCAGTTGTCACGGTCAGATTCCTTGGTCTTTGGTCTAAACTACCATATTGTTTTCCCAAGCAAGTAATATAACAACAAATACTTTTGTTTCCTCTCATTAAAACATGGATTTCATAAAATGGGAGCATACCATTGAGCAGTTTTGAAATGGCTATTGTTAGATTCTCCTTCTCACTTCCTTCCAGGTCACTGCTTTCAGGTATATTTCTTTGAAATCATGAAATGTTAACTGCAATTTTTTTGGAAGTTGGAGGGGCATGATGGGGCTGAGTTGTACTAGATTGCAGCTAATGTCAGTGAAAAAGGTTATCAGTGCAAAATAGAGATAATGCTCTTAGAAAAATGGTGTGGTGTCAATGAAGAAATCTGACTATAGCCTATGGCCAGATGCTCAGTGGTTAGAGGGCTTTGGGGTGGAGGGATGATGAGTCTGCAAGCTTATTGGAGCTCATGACCCAGACTGCAGGCACAGCACTGATCAGTTGTCTGTATGCTTGCCTTTATTTCTTGTCTCTGTCACTTGAAGGTAGGAGTGGGTGGAACTCTCTTTGCAAACCCTCAACTCAAATAGGTAGAATATTTATTGAAGTATATCTAACTGCCTCAATACCATGCTTAAATCTCTATATAGATTAAGTAGAGGAAGTTTTCAGAGAGAAATGATGTGGAAGGAGGTCTCCTGGTCTTGATGCATAGAAAAAGGGTCCCTTCACGTGTTTCGTTTTATTGCTCTGATCCAAATTGGAGAGACATATGTATAGCCGGTAGCAAATATGAGTCCAGGAGAAACTGGTTCTTATGTTAAACTGGAAAAGATGAGGACTTAATAAAATGATGATCGAGCTTTCAACTAATGCTGAGTACCTACTATGTACAGGTCCTATTATAAGTAGCAGGGATTCACAACACACAAAGCAAAGTCCTTTCCTTTCCTCTGGGAATTTCCTTCTAACGCAACTTCCCAGCCTCAGCACTACTGCCACTTGGTGCTAGGTAATTCATTTTGGGAGGCTGTCCTGTGCACTCTCAGGTGTTGAGCACCATCCCTGGTCTCTACCCACTAGATGCCAGTAGAATGTACTTCATTTGTGACAACCAAAAGGGTCTCCAGACATTGGCAGTTGTCCACTGGGGGGGCATCTAGTACCCAGAAAAGGACCACTGTTTTAGTGTGGTAAGAAAGACATATAGTAAACAAATGAACAATAAGAGCTATAATGAAAATTAAATGGGGCAATGAATTCTGACCTGTGTTGGCCTCCTTTAATTAGAGAAGGAATCAGGGAGGGCCTCTCTGAGGAGGAAGCATAAAGCAGAGACCTAAATGCAGACACCTCCAGTTGCCGCCTCCCCCTCCAAGTCAGTGTACACTTTTGAAACCATCTTGGCCTTCAGCCCTTTCACCTTGACCACTGCCAGCTCAGTTCATTGTCTCCTTGGTTGTCAGATCATCTGTCACAATATCACAGTGCTCGGGTTCAGGTAACGCTCATTTCACTTATTGATGGCCCCAGAGCTCAAGAGCAGTAACACTGGCAGTTCGAATATGCCATAAATGCTTCCTTTAAGTGAAAGGTGAAAGCTCTGCACTTAGTAAGGCCTTTGTCATTTCACGCCATCACAAAGAGAAGGTACATTACCGTAAGGTATTTTGAGAGAGAGAGAGATCATATCTATATGTTTTATTACAAGATATTGTTATAATTGTTCTATTCTGTATTGTTGTTGTTAATCTCTTACCGTGCCTAATTTATGAATTAAACTTTTTCGTAGGTATGCATATATAGGAAAAACATGCTATATGTATATTCCTAGTTTCAGGCATGTGCTAGATGTCTTGAAACATATCCCCTGGAGATAAGGAGGGGTGACTGTCCCTTTTAAATCACAGCCTCTTTTATCCAGATTAATACAAACGCCTTCCCTTTGCACTCAACTAAGAGCCTTCCCAAACACGTGACAATTTGCCCATGAATGAAAGAGTAGCTTCAGTTATGTTTTATTTATTTATTTTTAAGATAGCAATTTTGCTTTCTTGCTCCTTGACTATGGCAATAATCATCCACTCGAATGCTCTGTAGTGAAGGAAGGAAGGGAGGAAAGGAGGGAGGTAGGGAGGGAGGAGGGAGGGAGGAGGGAGGGAGCTTTGTTCAAAATGGACATTGCAACCCAGTCATAAGCTTAAGGGAAATCTAGATACCTTGGGAACCCTGGAAACAGAAAGATGTCTTGATAAACTGAAGTGAGGTTTCTGGCGTGGTGAGTTGATTAATTGTATGAGGCCTCATCTTTTTTGGGAGGTGTGTGTGCTGTTTTGGGGAAGAGGTGCTTTTTTTTAATATAGACTTTATTTTTCAGAGTATTTTCAGATTCACAGCAACATTGAACAGAAAGTGTAGAGTGTCCCCTGTTTCTGCACAAGCACACTCTCCCCACCATCAACACGCGGCATGAGAGGGGTGCCTTTGTTACACCTGTAGTCGATGAGCCTACACTGACACGTCTTTATCACAGGAAGCCTGTGGTTTACATTAGGGCTCGCTCCTGGTGTTGTACTACGTTTTATAGACTTGAAATAGTGTTCGATGACAGGTATCCACCATGGTTGTTACACAGAATAATTTCACTGCCGTAAAAATCGTCTGTGTTCTGCCTCATCATCTCTCTCTCTCCCTAAGCCTTGGCAACCACTGGTCTCCATAGCTTTGTGTTTTCCAAAATGTCTTGTAATTGAAATAATCTAACATGTAGCATTTTCAGGTTGGGTATTTTGCTTAGAAATATGCATTTAAGATTTCTCCATGCTTTTTCATGGCTTGATTGCTAATTTCTTGTTAGTGCTAGATACTACTCCACAGTCTAGGTATACCACAGTTTATTTATCCCTTCACCTGCCGAAGGACATCTTGGTTGCTTCCAAATTTGGGCAGTTATGGATAAAACTGCTATAGGCATCCATGTGCAGGTTTTTGTCTGGATATTAGCTTTTAATTCATTTGGGTAAATACCACTAACACAATTACTGACTCATATATGGTAGCAGTATGTTTACATGAAACTGTCAAGTCGTCCTCCAAAGTGTCTGCACCATTTTGCATTCCCTCCAGCAGTGAGAGTTCCCGTTGCTCCACATCCTCGCCAGCATTTGTTATTATGTGTTTTGGACTTTGGCCTTTCTGATAGGTGTGTCATGGTATCGCATTGTTGTTTCAATGACTCATTTTAAGTTGGGAATAATAACACTTGACTCACAGAGCTGTAAGGATTAACTAAAATAATGTGTAAAGCATGTAGCACAATGCCTATCCTTTTAAGAGATGCTTAATAAATACTTTCCTTGTCCTCTCTCTCCTTGGTTCTGCCTTACAACTCACATTTTTTTCTCTTTCAGCCCATATTCTCTTTTAAAAATATTTTACTTATTTATTTTTAGAGAGAGGGGAAGGGAAAGAGAAAGAGTGGGAGAGAAACATCAATGTGTGGTTGCCTGTCATGTGTCCCCTACTGGGGACCTGGCCTGCAACCTAGGCATGTGCCCTGACTTAGAATCGAACCAGCGATTCTTAGAAATGAACCCTTTGCTTCCCAGGCCCGTTCTCAATCCACTGAGCTACACCAGCCAGGGCTCAGCCCATATTCTTTACCCAGGGCACTGCTACCCATGCCAAGGCCTCTTCTTGACTATCTAGTCAGAAGCTGCACTTGGGGATAAAAGAACTAGGTTTTCATTTAGACTCCATTTCTAACAATCTTGAACCAAAATCAATAGAACAATAATGGCAAGAATAAATATTAATTTTAATAAAATTGGTCAATAGATAAGTTAAACAGTTCTTTAAATATAAAATTTAAGCTCTAAATCTTAAAACAGCCCACGTTACACTTTCTCTTACTAACACCGGTGACAGCAGCCGGAGTCAGTAATAATGGCAACTGTCATCTCTGTGAGCTTGTATGGGTACAGATTTGAACCCAGGGCCAGATTGTTGACTGGGTTTAAATCCTGGTTCCACCATTTACCAGCTGAGTAACTGAGCAGTTATTTAAGCTCCCTGAGGCTCAGTTTCCTGTAAAATGTAGATGTAATAGTATTTATCTCAAAGCATTGTTAAGATTATCAGGTGAGTTATTCTATATCAAGTGGTTAGGATGTTACTTGGCACGTAGTCACTGCTGTGTTTTCATTAGCAATTTTTGTCATGGGGTCAGAAAAGGCAATGGAGGCCCAACACGTTACATTCTCCTCTATTTGTACCTCTTTCTATAATTATGTGAACAAAGAAGTATTTAAAAATCTAGGTAAATACAGGCATTATTATCTTCCCTAAGTTTTTAGTTTTGCTCAGTGACCTATTTTGAAGTTGTACTGATGAGGCAATGGTGAAGAACAGCAGCAGAGACACCAAACTGGGTGTGAGGCTTCGTAATGTGGGTTCTGTGGTCATCTCGTGGCTGCATGACCTACCTGACGGTCCTAGAACGTGGTGCGACCATGAGCCGACACAAAGGCACACACTTCATTGGAGCGCAAGTATTTTTTTGTCAGTTCTGTACTTATTTTAAGGGAGCATAGGAGCTGTCAGACTTCACATTAATGAAGTACTAGTTTTGTCAATCATTTTAAACACTTAAGAAAAAGAAAAACTAAGTGGAAAATTAGAGTACAAATTACTGATGAATAATAATGCGGTTGTCTGAATAGCTGATGCATCTTCTCTCCTAAGGGCCATTTAAAAGATGCATTTAGAGTTTCTCTGTGTCTAAGTATTTATGGCCTGATGCTTTTGAACTATAAGAGTTTAGCTGATTCTACTTTGAAAACAATTGAATAACTAGAATAATGACAACCTAAGATTTACATCAATCACAGAAAAAACAAACAAACAAATGAAAACCAATACTTTTTAAGATCTTAAT